GAAGAAGAAGAAGAAGAAGAAGAAGAAGAAGAAGAAGAAGAAGAAGAAGAAGAAGAAGAAGAAGAAGAAGAAGAAGAAGAAGAAGAAAAAGGCCTTCAAGAATATGTCTTGCCAGGTGGTGATGGCACACACCTTTAACCCCAGCACTTGGGAGGCAAATCTCTGTGAGTTCCAGGCTAGCCTGGTCTACAAAGTGAATTCCAGGACAGCCAGAGCTCTTACACAGAAAAACCTTGACTTGAAAAACCAAAAAGAAAGAAGAGGCAGGCAGATCTCTGTGAGTTTGAGGCCAGCCTGGTCTACAGAGCTAGTCCAGGACAGGCTCCAAAGCTACAGAGAAACTCTGTCTCGAAAAGAAAAAAAGAAAAAGAAAGAGAAAAGAAAAGAAAAAACGTGTCTTTTCAGCTGGGCAGTGGTGGCGAATGGCTTTAATCCCAGCACTTGGGGGACAGAGGCAGGTGGATCGCTTGAGTTCAAAGCCAGCCTGGTCTACAGAGCGAGTTCCAGAATAGCCAGGGCTACACAGAGAAACCCTGTCTTAAAAACAAAACAAAACAAAACAAAACAACAAAAGAAAGAAAAAAAGAAAGACAGGCAGACAGAGAGAGAAAACATGACTTTCCAATATACATCCTGGTAAAAAGCTGCCCTTGACTTAGGCTTCTCCAAATAATTGATCTCATATATTTCATTTACTAGCATGAACATAGCTATGTGTACTATATACTATGTACTAAGAACTAAAATGTCACAGAACAAACCATCTTTACAGAATGCTCTCCATACAGAGCACCCCCTCTGCCTGTCAGACTCTGCTTCAGGGATAGTGTACCAGCAAATCCTGGGCACACCTGTGGCACCAGACTGAAAGGGACTGACAAGTCCAAGGTTTAGCCAGAGCCTATGGAGGGGCAGCTTTGCCAAAGATGCTTTGTCCCAACATGGCTGATAAATGCAAATGAATGTGGTTTTTTTTTTTTTTTTTCTAGACACCTTCAATGATAGACTGAGAATCAAAGAGCAAATGAAACATACCCCAAGAAATCACTGGGCCCGATGAAAAACCTTTAGAAGGCCACAGGGCAGGGTCACCTGGCTCCTGTTGCTAGTCATATCCTGTGACAAAACTCCCTAGACACAGTCCTGGAAAAGCACTATGAGATCCCACAGACACCAGGGACAATGTAGGATTGAATGCATTTAAGTAAAAAGATCTCAAAGAACTTTCTGGAGGAACATGCTGTATATACATGACTCACAGCCACTAGAGTGAGGGGAGCAGCAGGCTCCTTTGGGAATGGAGGAAAAAATACACACACACACACACACACACACACACACACACACACACACACACACACACGAGCATGCATGCTTAGCTCCCTATATATGAAAAGAGAAGGAGGAACTGTTGGAAAGTACTTTGGTTTACTGGAATCCCTTCTGAGGATGTAGTTATTTATTTATTTGCTTGTTTGTTTTCTGGGAGCAAGGTCTCATTATGTATCCTTGGCGGGTGTGGAGCTCACAGTGCAGACCAGACTGGCCTTGAACTCATAGAGATCATCTGTCTTAGACTGTTGAGTGCTAGGATTAAATGCATGTGCCATCATGCCCAGTTTGTGAGCTGATTTCTAAACTTAGCATTTCATAAGCAGGTTTCCCACAAAACAGAGAGAGTCTTCGAGAGAATTGCATGGAACATGTTGCTCCATGTCACTAGGGGTGATGTCATTACTATCTTGGATGTGATGGTGTACTTTGGAGTCTGTCTGCTCTCTAGTATCAACTTCAGGCTCTGCCAAGTGAATATCCTACTCAATCTGGTTAACTGCATGCCCTTTATTCCTCCCCTGGAAATCTAATTTAGGTGCTCACTATTTCAGGAATAGAGAGATGAATCAGTGCAACACCTCATTTGAGATCCAGAACTACAGATTTCAAAGAGCCAGGAAGGAGGAGCCTTTGGCTTGCAGTGCTTTCCCAAGTGCCTCATGGCATGAGTTCAAAATGGCACTGAGTAAGAAGGATGACTGCACCACCCAGGAAGGATGGTGCCTAATTTACATCCTTGTTAAGAAAAATACAAAGGAGTAAACTGAAAAAAAAAAAAAGGAAGAACTTCCCTGAATGTCATCTGTAGCTGAGTGCAACACCCAGGGAATCTCAGAGCGGTTTCTTCTTCCTACAGGGCACAGAGAGTGGCCCTCATGATTGAAGGCTTTTTCCATAAGGCCACAATCCTTCTGTAAACAAAGTTGCTTCACCAAGTTGCTACTTAAGATCTAAAACTTGCTGGGCAGTGGTGGCGCACGCCTTTAATCCCAGCACTCGGGAGGCAGAGGCAGGCGGATCTCTGTGAGTTCAAGGCCAGCCTGGTCTACAGAGCAAGTTTCTCAAAAAAACAAACAAAAAAAAAAAAGATCTAAACTTTACAGTCTAAGAGCTTCCAAAGTTAATTTAAGATGAGATGTTCGGAATATAAGTAAGCTATATTTTATGTTCTTTGTATTTTAGAATCTTTCATAAATATATAAAAAAAGAGTAAGAGCCGGGCGTAGGTGGCGCACGCCTTTAATCCCAGCACTCGGGAGGCAGAGCCAGG